ATTTAGAACCTGAAAAATTTCCAAACAATCCCTACTCTCGACCATTGAGCAGCACAATCAGCTAATTAAAAACATTTTGATGAAATTATAAAGACTGTAAGAATCAATTTACAATGAAAACATTTGGCCCGTCCCTAATACCCCCCCCCCCCCGCATTCACCCACACCTCCTTTATATACTTATAATTATCACCAACCTCAAATCAATCAGGCTCATGTATCCACAGTATAACAACATAACCCCTCCCCCTCATCAACTCCTTATCTAATAACTATATATGCACTAATATAACTCTAAATAAAAACTCAATGCACAACCGACAACCGACAACCCCCCCCCCAACACCCCATAACTGCATCTACCCAACTCTTCTCTACCTACTGATAACTCTCACCAATGCACAATTCGTCGCACCTACCTTTCCCGTCCCATCTCCAACAACTATCTTATACTAATACTCACAAAATAATTATGAAAGTCAGTAAAGTGAACAGTTACAGACGAAAGCTAAAGGAAAGTTTTATAAGAAAGAGAACATTGATACTGAAGAAAAGTTTTTCATCAAGTACAAAGACTGGATACGGTTACAAGAATGGACGCCAAAAACAAGATTAACTATCTCCTGCATGACACTAACCACTCACCAACAACTCACAGTCCGGCGGAGGGGACTATAAACAGTGTCCCGTGTAGGAGGGTCCAACCTGCACGTAAAAAATCCCTCTGTGTATTGTCGAAAGAGTAGGCGCGTTAACGCCGACACAGAGGATAGGGATAGATTAGATTACATTTATTCTCGACGATTCGACGGACTTCCAAAATATAGGAACGAAACAAAACACAAAAAAGAGTAGGATATAAGTAAAGGACAGCCTGGATACGGTACGCCCTCCTCCTAGACCAACGCCATGATATGATACGATCGGTGATCTCGCCATCCTTTTTTATATAATAAAAATTCCAATAAGACACATATATTATAAGCCCAACAACTTATAGACCCCCATAAGACCATCTACTAACAACCATTTTTCTTTTTTCTTTTTTCTTTTTTTTTCTGAAAAAGACATACACCAAAGAATTAATGGTAAATATCTGCATACACTATAGGGACCCCTCGGATATTCTCAAAATCCGGCCAAGTCTGACAAGGAAACAAAGTACTGTACCTAACGGAAGCAGAGACGTTTCTCTACTGTCGGGCACAACCGGCAGTAAGAGACCCGAGGTACATAACAAATATAATATATATACCTCCCTATAAGAACAGGAATATATTCAATAAATACACTTTAAAAATAAACAAATATTTTTATCTTTTATGTACATATATACATTAATATAAGCAACATTGGCCAATTTCGAATCCCCTCAACGACACAAATACATTAGTAAGAATCAACAACCAAAGCTACATCATCCGGCGCGATAAACTATTTCGAACCAAGGAGTCGTCTCAAAATTACATCATAAGATAAAGAAAGAATAGAATAGACGACTCCAAACCACCCCCGCGAGGGAAGGCAACTTCACTCACACCGACTGAACACTGACTTCCGTCAGTGAGATGAAACCCGTAAGGGCGGATTCATGTAGGTACGAAACCCGTCATCCATCCATCCATCCATCCATCTTTAATAATTTGTTCAATATACAAAGTAGAACCTATCCATTTTGCATGTAATTTACTCTGATGTAATATCAGCTATCTGGAAATTTAAAACTCAGTGAATTATTACATTTTAAAGATACACCAAAAATAACATTTGCGCTTATCACTGATTAAGCAAATCACCTTTTGAACAACTGAGCCCAGATTGCTGTTTTGAAACGCTGTTATGAAAATTTTCATCCAACACGTCCGGATGCGTAATCTTTTTTCATGGCGTTCGAGAAACAAAAGAGATTTGATTACACATTATCTGATTTTATCAATTTGACCTTTTTTTAGTTTATTGATGATGGTTATTTTACATGTCACCAAAACTGATGGGTGAGACAAAATTATTACTTTAGCATGAACAATATCTTCTATTATTATTTGGCATTTTTGGAACAAATTTAACAAAGAATTTGGATTAAATGTAACGCTAAAATATTTTTTTATCACGAAATAAACAAAATTACAAACATATATAAAAGAAATTTTGAAAAAATGAAAATGCCGTTTATTTCGTTATTTCCGTTTAAAATATAGAAAATACCAATAATTTTCAGTTAATACAACTGCATTAACGTTTGATCCATTTCTACATACAAAAGTGGTCGGTCTTTGTATTCACAAATTAGTGTGATTAAACTGTTTTTCTTCTCGCCAAGGAATATGTATTTCAATGTGAATGTTCAGCAGATCTAATCGGCGTTTAGGTTTCATTACATACAACATTAACATCTACAATGTTTTGCGGTTTGAATAGTTCTTGTTTGCTTGTCCGATGCTCCTGGTCGGTTGCAATAATCCTCTCCAATGGTAACTTCTCCTCTCCCAATGTACATTTACATCTTCATACATATAGTCCACCGTGCGTTAGTTAAGAAACGTTAGCAAAGCATATAAAAGGAAAGATGTCAACGCCAACCCTCCAGGGGCCAGTTATTGACAAACATGACAATTGTTTTTGCAGAAATTATGTGTTTTATGATTATGTCATGATGACTATAGTTCCTTTTTTGAGCAATACACTGGTAGAAATAAATAAATGCGACATAGATGTATTCGAATTTCATTGCATCGAAAAAATGTAAAAATTAACACGCAAGTTTGGTAATTTTGAAATAAATTTAATGATTATACTTATACGATGGAGATTACATAAAAATGGGTGGTCGGGTGGTGCAGTGGATAGCGCACTTGCCTTTTACCAAGGCGGCCGGGGTTCGATTCCCCGATCGGACGTGAAAAGGTTGGGGTCACCTGCCCGACCACGTGGGGTTTCTCCGGATACTCCGGTTTCCTCCCACAATAAGACCCCCCCGCGCGCTAACAACCGGGCCAACAAGAGTGATTAATATAAGTTGAAATTATCTGTTTCTTAATTGCTTTAAAATAAATAAAGTTTATATTTATATATTGATTTTTTTTTCTCTTATTTTGTCAATAATCACGTGCACATAAGATACCATAATTCAATTCAGGGACTGATTGATTCAAAAAATGAAAACCGTTTAAAGACATCAGCCTAAACATAAAACATCAAGCTTATCCTTTGAGGCCAACTGAACGAGTAAATGGACACTCTGATTGTATGTCAATAGTTATATGCATTTAATTAAACATTGCGCTCATTATTATTTGTTTGCTTGCAAAGCTCATTCAAATAGATCATAAATACCATACAAATACAGTTCAATAGTTATATTTACGTTTACTCTGCCTCTTATATGTTCTTTTTTAATTTACAATTTATATTTAAAATTTGTAATTTCCGCCTTATCGACAGTTCACACAAATTCGTTCAATAGTTGGAACAGCATGTTGTCGCGTGCTGATTGGCAAACAAAGTAATACTTTGAAAGTTTAACAAACACTTCAATTTTATTCCACAATACAGTATCAATGCAATTGCGTATGATATGTCTATAGGGTGATTTAAGTTTATCAAAAGAACTCTGAGTTGAAAGTTAGATTTGAATATATTTCGATTTTTCCCCGGAACAAATTGGGCGCATGAATAAATACAGTGAACACCGTAAATCCGATTTTGCTCTCCACGAGGGAGTTATTTTTGGAAGTTAATTCGAACTTTTCTCTTTGCTCATTTTGTGAAGAATCCAGACGTGAATTTATTTGTTGATTGTATGGGAATCTGACCTACAGTCGATAGATTCTATAACAACCTCGTTATTTGACATGTCGTCAGTCACTGAGGAAACCGTGGCTGCAAGACGCGTGAATCTGATATCGTTTGAAGTGAGTGATCTTGCGACGGAGAACAGGGATTCGTTACAAATGTTTGAAATGTTTATGTGTGCTGTGACTAATATCAGTAGGTCTGTAACATATGTGACAGTAGGTCTAAAGAATTTGTGTATTTCAGACATTTGTAACAAACCCCTGTTGATCAGTGCAGTGTAACAGACGATATTTCTGATAAATTGCATGAGCGTTAAAATTGTTTTCCATTGCCGGCATTGGTGGTTTCAACCGATGTGCATTTCGTACGATATTGCAGTTCTTGGTTTTGTTTTTGTTGTAACAAAAGTATTTTTCATTTTATTTTTTTTGCACATAAATTTACAATGACATTGTCAAGTCTCACAATGCCCAGCTATATTTCAGCAGCCGTCAGGTTACATTGGATATTGTAGTTCCGGTCAGTGTTGTATTAATACGCTAAGAATTGTGTCTCGTGCGGCATAGTAATTACAGTCCCATCAACGACACAGCTTTCAAAGAGGCTATATAGTGGCAATGCCATGCAAATGTAAATATTTGATAATGGTTCCTAAGTTTCAGATAAACGAAAGCATTCCCTGTGTGTGTTCTTTGCGTTCAAGCTCTTTTCTATCAACGACCCATACTCATTTTTATCACAAGATGTGCTGTGTTATCGAGTGAATATACCAATGTCATATTTTTTGCGTATTTACCAATGTATTTTACCTATCAACCCTGTGATTGGTTGTAAGTTTTAATTATTTTAGTTGTGACGTCTGCTTAGGACAAGTACATGACGTCACAGACTTACGCACTAGAGTCAAAATGACCGATTTTTACACTTCAAGGTTGCATGAAAATCGTCGTTTTACACGAATAAATGCCACAAATCTTAGGTATGTGATAAAGAGGATCTTACACTCGTTTTCATTTCTTACGAAATTTACGAAATTCGTCGTGAATATTTCATTCTAGCTCGCCAGAGGCTCGCTAAATTGAAACATTTTAAGACTCGTTTCATAAATCTTATATGATAGGGAAACTCGTGTAAGATCGTATATATATATATATATATAAAGAAATCTTCTGAAAATTAGAAAATACTAATCGTTTATCGTCTTATTGCCCTAAATATCGAATAATAGCACACATCACAAACTCATCAACAATATTCACATTTTCCTGTGTGCTTAGGTTTTCTTTAATTTCCAACACATTGATCATTCAACTCTTAGTTCGTTAGTTCGAGTGGTGCCCTACATTCGCTCCCGAAGAATCCGTGACAACATACCTCTAAATTATTACAGGCTATGTCTGTGTAACACCTGACCCGTCGTGTCCATATGTTAAAAGGAGAAGGGCAACTGCCCGGTTTCATAGAACTTCCGGGATCTGAGGAATCATACATCATACTTTAGAAATAGTTGAAAACTAACTATTGTTTCAGACAGAACATATCAAATATGAAATGTGCAGAATCTATGTTTTGGAAAAAAACTAGATAGAACAATGAAAAGAAGTAGGAAACATTTAGCGTCTAATTAATTAAAAACATACGAACAGTGGCATAAACAATCGTCACCTAACAATATAATATCCTTTTGCTATGCATCGACAATACTAAATAGTAGCAGCTGTGTTATCGATAGATTAGGTGCACAATACTTTTCAATGATATCTACTAATTTTCAAATTCAGACCCCATATTCATAAAAGGGTCTCGATCCCAGAAACGGAACCTCTCGTGAGGCTTTATCCATAAGATTTTTTTAAAAATAATTATTCGTGTTAACAATACAGTGTTAATTGTGTTGTGTAACTAGCTATAGTTGTAATGCTGTTGGTTGTATATACATACAAGGGACACAGGTCGGCCCGGCATCACATGGAGGATCAAAGCATGGGTAAGGTCTTAGGTCACACATGCCTTCACCACCAGGACACTGGAAGAACTGTCGAAAAATTTCAACGAAAATCAGTTATGTATTTTGATAGATGATTGAAGCATACAACTGTTGTTATTCACTCAAATTTATGTCAAAAGTGAACAAATCAGTTTTTTCAATTAACACGTTTAGTTCATATGTATATGTGGATTGAAAGATATTTATCTAATATGAGTTTAACTTTGTTATTTGTCTGATATATGTTAAAGGTGTTGAGCCTTAACTTAACTACTTTTCGACAACAAGATGACTGATTTGAAAATAAAAAAAACCAAAGACGAATTTATCTCCAATAAAATAATTCCCGATAATGATCGATGCGAGATAAATAAGAGTTGAAACTCACCACCAACACTTAACACAAAAGTTAGAGTGGAAGAAAATGGAAAAAAATCTGTTCAGGTAGATAATAGAATGTGATTACTGTTAGTGAGAAAGAAATTTAAATATACGAGTTGAGAGTGGATAATAGATGATGTCATTAAATTAGAATCACAGTGCTTGGGGAAATCAATTATGGAACTAAAACCAAAAACCAAAAGTTATGAAAATGTGTACTATATGTATATATATGTATATAAAAAATACGATGATAAAATGGCTCTGTGCTATGCACGAAATGTTCAGACTTAAAAAGTAATAATTGAATATGTTAATATGTATGCTAAGTAACAATCGCAGTTATACTCATATACTATTTTTTGTTATAATGACGCTTCATTTATATATGTAAATAAAACAATTATAAAGTTACAATTTACTACAGTATCAAGAAATGTTTTATGCTTACTTCCAAACAACCATATGATAATGATTCGAAATGGTATAATCTTGATAGCAGCCTATGTTGCTGTGCACATTCTTTACATTAGGAACACATTTTAAAAGTAAAACTGGTATCACAGCTATACAAATACACACACCGAACTAATAGAGTTTACCCAATAACACACGAACTTACTCTACAGAGGCGTTCGACATAACGCTGTATGTTCGGGTTCCGCCATTTACCAGGTATCTGAGGTGGAAACTGCCCACTGGACTCCTGAAATACTAGCACCGCCACAATCTGAAATAAATTAGAACTATTTCATTTAACTTGAATTACACAGTGAAATGGCCATGATAGCTACCGAAATCAATAATGTTCTTATTTAAATTATAGTTTCGGTTAAGGATTGGAAACAATCAATAACTGTCGAAATTAACTTCCACGCAATCAATTCTGAGTACCAAATATATTACATACAAAGAGAAACAACATAATCCTTCCGTCTCTCATCATATCTAAATGTATGTACAGTTAAACTCAGGACAATCGCTTACGTTGGTTATATAGCTAGCATGTACATGACAGGGCGTCACTGTTCAGTAAGCAGACGGTGGTGTTTTGCTACACATAAACCACACAGGTTACATGATGTCTATTTCTGTTTGTCTTTTTTGTATCGACGTAATCAGCATGTCAATCCTGCTGTTTTCTCTTTTTATTTTTTTATGATAAAGCGTTAAGGCGATTGTGTTATTTTCTGTGAGATGTGAAGGTCTAAGTTGTTATTATGGTCATTAAAGTGACTTGGTTTTTCGTTGTCAATATGCCAGCTTGCAGTTTGAGGGCGTGGCATTACTTGGATTTGACCTAGATTTACATGGCGGGTGTCGTCGATGGAGCAGAAGATGCCTACACTACCGGCAGACGTGGCTTTATATTTTCTCTTTACTTCATTGTTTATTTTTGCCCTAGTTTTGTTGATTATTATTTAGTTTTTTTTTTACATTTCGATAACCAATTTGCTTTGATACCGGCATGAATGTTAAAAACAATGCCGTTCAATGTGTTTACCTTATAATTGTTATTGATTTTAATGTAAAGCAATTCATAATATCTGCGTCAATGAGATTTCTGTTTTTTCAAAGCAGACGACGTTCATGGAACAGCCTAACATTTCTCCTAAATATTAACTTTTTTTCCCAAAGTCTCACGGCGGAAGGAGAGGCATTTAAATCATATTGATCCAACTTCTTGCATAAGCCTATGTACGCTTTTTTTGCTGGTAACATTTATTTAAGATTAAATATGTGCCGTAGTCCACTATGTAACTGATATCTGCCTTATACTAAAACTTCACAAATGCATGTGTATAAAGAGAATCTTTTCTTAACATGTCTTTTTTGAAGTTTTGAAATTTAATACATCAATACTGCTGTCACATTTATATTACTCAATACTTCCATATATTTTTTACTGCTACATCACATAGCTATTTTACAAATTATGATTCATTGTTCTAGGAAAATGACTGATTGGCGCGGCTAGTGAATAAAAGGAATAAAAACTATTTTGCTGTTTTGTCTGGACGAATAAATAAGAATAATGTATATCATGGCACTAGTTTCATTTGGGGTAAGTAAAAATTGAAATATCACGAAAATGTGTCAACCTTGATAACGTTAAATGTTGTTGAATTATTTTTGAAAAGAAATGTTTCATTTTGTGAATGAAAGAAATATCAAATCATATTTTTTCTTCCCTGAATTTCGTTTGCTCTTTATGTCGTTTCGTATCAGTATTTTAACTTGACTGTACCATAACTAGTCCTTTCCCTTGGTTAGACTAGTAATTATCGTGTAATATAGGGTTTCTTCTGTTCCTGTTTTTCGTCTTTAATGTCGATTTTGCCTGTTAGAAATATTGATCTTTCATCTTTTTTTATACTATTAAAAGATTATTTTGTTTTGTACAAGAACATTTTCCCAAACGTTTGATAGATTTACTCGATTTACAATCTCTTCATGACCTTTGGATTAACACGTCATGGTAATAGAATGAAAAGTGACAAATATCAAACATTTTGTCAACAATCAATTAGGGAGGAGTAATGCATATATTTTGGCATTTTTGTGTCTGTTGTGACGACGACGTTAAATATCAAATCGACTATGCTTCAAACTTTTTTTTAAAAAATGATCGAATACCAGTCGCATTTAGAAAATAAAAAATACATAAATTAATACCAGCCAAATGGTTGACAGCGATTAAACGATAATTACACCAGGGCCTTAAATGCCGACCAGCATGAAGAGGATGGGTGAGTTGAGGTAGGACGATAAATTCAATTTGAAATTACTGCACGATATCTACCACAACATCACATCAACAAAACAGAAGGTAAATCATACGTATAATTAATATCCTATTTGATGAAATAAATCAAGTATGTCAAACGTTTGTTGACGAATTAAACTCTTTTTTTTATTTATCAACTTTCGTTTTATACATTTTCAATCCTTGGCTTTCTTGATTTGACATTTCGCTCTAAGGTCAGTGTCTAGATTATTAATTCTTCACGTTGTACTCCGGTGTGATTAACGTCGTAAGGTCGATATGTCACTCACCATCGATTTACTTACAGGGAAATAGATTAACATAGCCTCACACGTATACCAATGATTAAAATATTACAAAGCATTAGCATCATTTCCAAGAATTTCCTCTGGGTTTATATATAAGTATAAATCGTGACAAACTACCTAAGTATTTACACATTTATTGGTTTATGATGATCCTTAAGAAACAATTTCTTTAGATATTCTTTTAATAGGTAAATATGTGTATGGTTGTTTTTACCTGTCATTAAACACCCCTCATTATGTTTATTAGATCTAACCCTTACCTGTTTAATTCCTCCATGTCCTGAAGGTCCACAAGGTGTATCAAGTATGTATATATATTTTCTTTATATCCAACTATATAATAGACCAATGATGCAAAAATAAATAAAATACACAATACAACATACATAACATCTAAAGTACGGAAGAGTCCAACGGCCGATACAGCTGGAATAACTGCATTTATGACTGAATAAGAACAAACAAGGATTGTTTAAGTAACATTATTGTCATTTGTTGATTATAAGTACTCTTGCACTGCCGTTGTATATACAAATGTGTTCCAAGTTTAATCTTATAAATTATCTTACGTGATGTCTGTATATAAAGTTTTTACAGGTTTTAACTGTGCTGTTTACAGTATCCCTGAATGGCTCTTTCAAAAATGACTGGGAAAACCTGAAGATATCAAATACAAACATGTGCAAGTTACATTTATAATGCTTAACAGTTGTTAAAAACCTTAACCATTCTTCATGAGATTAGTATTTTATACTATTTGAATTCTTTTCTATTCAATATATGCCTTAATGGCTACCATTTCTAATGCTGCAATTTTTTTTTATTAAAATCACTCTCATTTTTGTCAAGATAACTCTAAACTTGTTATGTAAATACCACAGGGTGAAACAATTAATTCGGTTTGTCATCATTGTTTCTTTTTATTTACAGCTCGCGGAAGTATACTTCTAAACCTGGTAACTGTCCTGGTCCCTATATAATTTAGACGAGGCGTGTCAGATGTAACACCGACTATGGTTGTAATGGGTCACAGGTGTATTGTCATGGTTTCTGAGGAAGCGAATGCAGACCATCATTTATGAGTTTAGAATAAGTAATTGAAGCACGAACATAAAAGGTTAAAGTGTAACTATTATTTATGATTCTGTTTATCTGTAGCATTAACATAGATTTAAATAGGGTTTTCGTTCGTTATACTGCCAATATTTGACCCGCAAAATTTGGCGTGAAAAAAAGTTTTTTTTAGTGTTTATTGCTGTGGTCCTCCTGTGATTAAATAAATCATGTTTTAGGTCTGAAGAACTCTATATAAATTTAGTTGCTGCTTAATAAGGAATTAAACCTTGGACAGATTATCGCCGCTATATGAACATGATAAGACCACTCTAATAACACTCAAAACATCTTTATTGACAATTTTCAAGCTATCTAATAATTTAATGACTAAAAAAATGAAAGGTATTTATATTGCATGTCATTCAAAGGCTTATTTCAAAATAATTACAGGAAAGGAAATAAATAGTGAGAATAAGTTTGTCTTGGGTATGTTTTCGATATCATAGTGACAAGCAGCGAAAGTGTACGAGCCAACATCGATTACATTGATATAGGTTCGAAGGTTTGAAGTCAATCTAGTAATCGTGATTATATATTTAAACTAAGACGCAAGTCGTATTTTCCCTAAGCACCTTAGTTTCCGTGATCATATTACCATATTTAGAACCCTCCTAGACGCCAGTGAGTAACAGACATCTTACCTGTGTTCCGATAACTGAAGCAGACAACAATAATGATGCTTAGCACAAGGCGGATCATCGTTTTTTGTTTTGTTTTTGATCTATTGCAGTTAAACATATAAGTGTAAAATGCGGTTGTGGTTAAAAACACGACTATTTGTTTCCTCTCGAATAGTATCACGTTCGCACGAGCTTCGCCTTTGTGAATGATGATCAGTTCCGAGGAAACACAGAATTTCATATTCGGAACATTACAGTTTATTCTTATTGTTAAGGACACAATTACAACTATTCCTTAAACATAAAAGTTGCAGGTGCTTTTGATGCAGTACAACCGGAAATGTTGCTAATCAGCTATACATGTATTCTTTGTCTTGATCTGTAAACAACACATCGTTAAACACGACGCGACACATCGTACAGGTGGTAAACATAGATCGATGGCTTGTTCAAATGTCACAACTGTCGAACTCGAGGTCTGGGGCGTTTAGCGCAGTTCAGCTCTAGTGTGATAGTAGGCACGTAGCGAGATCGACTCCGGTTGATGGGAGTTCAGCAATATATAAGTCAGATGCCTTACTGATAAACACGTCAAGTTTTCTTTAAATTTCAAGCTATACATTATGTCTCAACAACACGATACTCACATGTTTATACCTAACCTCAATAATGTTAACCTACAATATGTCCTGCAAGCGTGGGATATAAATTCCACGAATTTGCTTGTTCATCATATATGTTTTGAATGTTGGCAGTGTGCCTCTTTTTGCAACATACACGGATGACATGTTTAACGTAATATAACAAAAAGGGAAGAAAAGTAATTAAGAAATTATCTGAGTAGCAGCTAGCATTGAATGTAACAAATAAACCGTATGAAATCAACAAAAGGATTAACTGTAAATTGCAAGCATTAACTTGAACGAACAACTCAGTCTCTCTTTCCGTTTTCAAAGCAAAAACTATCTGGCTTTTGGTCAGTGTAACATGTCAAACGCACCTCTGACAACTATAAACACTCTACTGAGCCTGTTTAATCTACATAAATTCACTTGTATTGACTAGTATTGTCAGGAAATGTTTGGTGTTAGGCAAGGAGATGCAATTTGGTCATTGTACTCCAAATCACAAGAAAAAGTGTTCTTTTAGTAAAAAGGCATTGTGGGATAAGTATGAACCTTTA